AACTTAAATTGAGATGCACCTTCCATCTCCTGTCACCTAGAGAAACCTGAACTATAAATATATTTAAAAACAACTTAATTTTTTATTAAAAGTTTAATTTTAATGCTCAATATAAAATACTTCATAAATAAAAAGATAAAGTTCCTCAGCAAACAGTGGTACTCACAGTCCTGGGTGCCCTGCAGCCTCCCTCCACATGCCAGGCCCCCTCAGCCCCTCCAGTTTGCCCCCACACACACACGCTGGTAGCCGCTCCGCAGCTCCTCCCTAGGGCTAACTCCCTGCGAGGCACACCTGCCAGCACCCAGGCCTAACAGAAGAGGGAACCTTTAGGTTTGAACTGCAGCCATCCTTCAGCAGGGTGGTGAGTTCAGGCCTTTTACCTCTCCCCAGCCATTGCCTGCCATGTCATTTTAGCTAACCTCTGTAAAATTACATCCCTGTCACCAAATTGGGTTGATAGCGCTCAATGAATTAACAAGGAAATATCAGTAGGAGACTAAATGACAGAAAACAATCAAAAATTCATAAAAGCACTACCCCTCCAAGAGTTCAATGCATGAATGCCTCCTGTGTAGCTGCGAGCTGGGGACAGCTGTTGGCTCCCAGCAGGACATTACTAACAGATGGGACAATTACCGATTGTAAGGTCTTGCTGACAGAGGTTTTGCTTTATTTCTTTTTTTTTCTTTCAGTATTAGAACATAGCATTCGATTCACATTAGACTGGCTTTTTTACAGACAAATTAGCTGCACAGCAGATAAAAGAAAGAGAAAGATATTTGGTTCACAGAGACAAACTACAATGTTTAATTCTGATGTTTTTTCTGTGGGCTGGAGATATGCTTCTGTGACTCACAGATTTGATTACATCATGTCCATCCGTGGAGTATATTCCAGGTGTAATTTTTTTTTTTGGGGGAGGGGGGATGGGAAGCATTATTAGCAAAATTCTTAGCCTGTTTTCCAGATTATTTTCTTTACAAGACGCTGGTGAAACACTACAAGCCCTGCTCAGTATAAGTGCTTTTGTTCTAATGACAGTAATCATGCAGAAATCTCCAATGTCTTACCAGAATTGGAGCATCCCCTCTAGCAAAATGCTGATTACAGATTCATGTGCACAAGAGCTGAACACTGGAAATATTAACCAGGCAGTTACAGATGTCAAAAACACTTAATTCAGAGAGCTGATATAGGTACTTACACAGGACCTCATGATGAGAATGTATGACAGTCAAGGGGGTTTGGATAGCTTTCTTTTGGTATGGGACAAATTCATGTTCACTCAAATATCACAAGGTAATTTCTGGCTAGGCAGGGGAACCAGTAAATTTAATTATTATCACTGACTGTCAAATTTAATTAAGATTGAAGAGAGCAAAGTATGTAACTGTATACTAACTTTTTCTTACAGTACTTCTTTTGTAATATGTATTTCTGTAATCCTATTAACCTAAGCCTGCAAAATATTTTTAAATACATACAGAAGAAAATACAACGCAGAAGAAAACCTGCAAAAATCTGGTCTTCCAGGAAAGTCATCCTGTTTTGAATAAAAATCAGAATCCAGCAAAAATAAGCCTATCATAACATCCAAGACCAAGTGGATCATAGTCATCAGAAACGTAAGTAAATTCCAAGTGTGGAAAACATAGTAAAAAATTGCCTACTGTGTGGCAATGTGAATCTTACAGTTAAAACTATCACATAAGAATTAAAACGCTCAAGAAAGCTACCACCACAAAGCTTAAATATAAAATCCCAGTCTAAACAAATTTTAGCTGTGGATGTATTCCTGAATCTAAGTCTTATGATTAAAATGTTAAGAGATCATTAAGTGCAGTGTGATGCTCTGGTGATTTGCTACGCACATTATACTGACCATCCATAGGCATGTATTTGGCACATATAATTCATGGCCTCTATTGAACAAGATGATGACAGTAACCTAGCTAGGAGGAAAAAAGATCATTCAGACAAATGGGGCAATTACACGGTAACTTCACACAATCAAAACTAATAGGAATAAAAGATGTAGTTACAGATTTTCCACTACCCTTCTCCTTAAATCAGCATGATCAGTTATTCCCAGTAAATATGCCTGAGCAGGTCTCAACTCATTATATTTCACAGTCTGCTCTGCTTAGTTTTTCGCTGATGAAGTTATTAGGAGTGGGTGAAGGGATCCAGGACATAGCAAAAGGGATTTATTCTTCTTGGCACACTGCTTGCCAGTCTGAAATGCTGGATTTAGCTGTCTGACTCAGGGCAATTATGAAGTACTCTTTCCAGTTCAGCTGTTGCCTCCCACATTTCATCACCCCAAGATTCAAAGACAAGATGACTGACAGGGTACAATAACTTGCAAAAAAGTTTACTAGGATTGTTAAAGTGGGAAAGGAAAATCTCTTATGGTCAACCAAGTGGAAATCTGAGTCACCACTTAACTCAATGGCATTAGAAGCCACCTTTACTTAACTTGGAAACTCCATGAGGTGTTACCGAGAGGTGTACAAAATGTCCTACTATGCCTTAATCCTTCCTTCTCTTTTCTAGTCTGTTAAAAGGCTTTGTCTCAAAATACCCTTAAGTGCTACTGCATCAAACAAAAACAAAATAAAAAAGACTATTGACCTTGAAGGGTAGCCCTTTAAATGAACTGTTATTACCACATTGTTGCTACTTGAAACGTTTACATCTATTATGCTTACAGATTATGTCTGTCTCCAAGTATATTAAACCTACAAATGTATAATTTTGTAATATTTTTATTTTGAAATAAAAAAGCATGTAAGTAAATATTTTTATTTCCTAACAATCTGCTAGTTGCAGAGTATCAGACCAGTTCTACATACATATCCCTAAGGACCATAAGGCATATACTTTTCTCAAAACTTTTTAGTTATACTGATGAACAGCATCTTGCCAAGTCCTATCTTCTCCTTACAAACTGTGCCAACACTCCATTTTGGAGGTAAAATTCACAAAGGATAAAGGCTTTACTTCAAGACAGAGACAAGGTAAAACTACTGCCCAAATTGGCAATGAAGTAACTTCTGAAAATTCATCCTTAGTCTCCTGCACGTTTATTCCAACAAAACCCAGCTATGTACAAATTTGCTCTGATAACAGATTAAAACAAATAGCCTCCAAATAGTAAGCAGGATTTTGCAGGGGGGGAAAAAAAAAAAAACAAAACAAAACAAAACAGAAAACGTAGCCAAACAAAATGTTGAAGGATTTTGAAAAGGATGTTAAAAAAAGCACTCACCAACTATTTTTACTAATCTTGCAACAGCAAAACTGGTAATACTGTAAAATGGGAGAAAACAGATTGCATATGGAAAACTTGTTTTTCTATGCACTATGGAGACCTGCCAATCCTCTCCTTTCCCAGCCAACCATAAATTTTGGCCATCAGTCTAAATTCTTCCTACAAATTCCTGGCACTGGTACATAAATGCTGAATTTTCCAAGATGGTTATATGCATTTAAAAATTAAATTCAGCTTTCTAAAATTTACCAGTAATCCACTCTGCCCCCACAGCAACTCAACCTGATGTAATTTATCTCATCTTTTAAATCAGGCTTATCATCAGCATATCTAAGCATACTTCTTACTCCAGTTACTGCTGAAAATGCATAGATGCATTTTGTGTTTTAACTTTGTTCAGGAGTTTAACATTTGACATTGCTCTACAAAAGAGCCTGAATCAGTCATCAAAGAAAGAAAATTACAATCTCATGAAAGTATGTAGTATACATATATCAGTAGGAAGATTTTTTTGCAGTGTTGAGTAGTTGTTTGTTACGCAGAGGAGTAATAAAATAAGGACAGCAAAACCCAACAACGCAAGTTGAAGCCAACCTGGTAACTACTAGGCTCAAACAGGCAGGATTCAATTTTTCTGAGTTCCAAGAGGAGACAGATTCAGACAACGACGTGTATTTTGTACAGAAAAACATTACAAATCACTAAGTTGATATTGATATAGGGAGATACAAAAAGCAAAAGAGAAGGCTTCATCCGGAAAAAAAATTAGAAGAAAATATTTTGCAAGTAGTTCCTCAGGCAAGAACACGCTATTTGAACCAATAAATTGAAACCAGGCAGCCTATTTTGTTGAATGTTGATACAAAGTCATTTGTCACCAACAGTAATGACAGATTGCAGGAATCTATGGCTCCTATTAATGATTAGCTCCATGGAAAAATTAACAACTGTCACAGACAAACAGCAAAAGAATGTTTTCAAAACAAGCTATCTTTAAAAAAAGGGTAATATTTTTCTGGATAATCACTGTACAGCCAAATGGAATATTCATCATCTTTCAGTAGATTGCTAAGACATACTCCTGCTCAATTCACAGCAGTACTGTTAATATGTTTTCTACTATGAGGCAAGGGGTGTGATTTGTTTCCATTACCTTCCCTTCTCTATTATTCACAACAGATTCAGTACTGGTGGGGAAGATAATTCAGGAAGCCATGCAGAGCAGCATATGACATAACACAAGACTTCCAAAAACAAAATCTGTGAGTTCCAACCTTGATTATGACAATTACTGAAATAACTTTGATAATTTCAACCTACACATTTTCTAACTGATACTTCAGAAAGACAAAAGATTATAATAACAGATGTATGCCAAAGTAAAGAATGATATAATTTTGAAACTGTCCTTACATACATGCATCAGACAATCTAGGAGCTGAAGACTTCCCAAAGCATAGTTCCAATCCAAACTACATTAAACAAGCTTCTCTGCTGTATTTTAACCCTGAGACTCCTGAATCAGCACAAATGACAATACAGTTCATCTACTCGGGCACTAAACACAGCTAGTCAGCTACTGTATCAGCGGTCTGCTCACCTTGTGTGTTTTGCTGTATGTGTACAGATACGCCAATCTGTAGAGGCTCTTGTAGTGCTGGGGGAAGCGGCTGAGACACAAGCAGAAGGCGGCAATACACTGCTCTGTCAGGAACTTCCGCTGTTCCTCAAGGTCTGCTGGAAGACCATGTGGAAATTCAGGTGCATCTCCACAAGGTTCAGCTTTCTTTTTGCAGTCCCACTGTGAGGGTGGGGGGACTGCAGCTTTGCTGGGATTGCCAGCAGCAGTCTGAGGATCCACCGTAATTTTTTGGCCAGTGGGCTCAGCAGGATGGTAAGATTCTGAGCTCTCCAGCAGCTCTTCTGACTTTCCTGCAACTGGAACATTAAAAGAAGACAAAAGTGACAATGAAAATTTAAAAATGGCAAATGAAATATAGAAAATGACAAAAATTAAATGCAACAAATGGTAATCCTTTTAATCATTAAAGCATAGACAGAATTATGGAGTGATTTCTGGAAAAACTATGGCTGTTCCTGATGTTTAATGAATAAGCAATCTTAAGCACATTAACAAACAGAGCCACGTTGTCTTTACTTGGGTTTTTCCCTGAGCAATAGTAAGAATTCAGCACACCTTACACAATGGAGGATTTTATATACTGTTGGAAGATGGGGGAGGAGAAACAACAACCAAATAAAAGTGTAAATTCAGTAAAATTCTATTGCAAAGAAAGGAAGAAGGAACAGAAAACTAAAGCCATCCAGACAAGTGAAGTGTATTCTTAACAATCTACCAAGAAGGACACAATTCAAGAACACTGTTTAGTTTTGGACAGAATGATGAGCAGCAGCTAACCTGGCCTTCTGGATAATGTAGAACCCACAGTTCCATCCAAATATTTTTGCAATTAACTTGGTAACTCATAGTTCAATTGACCCATCTTTTCTTGAAGGATACCAAATCTTACTTCAGAAAACATCCACGACAGTGGGAGCTTCCACATTTCCTGTTAGCTAATCATTATTGCTGAAAACATGCATGCTACATGCAGATTTATTTTTTGAATTTTGATTTTCAGTCATGGAAGTTTACCATGTCTGTCTGCACTAGGATCCCTTATAATTTTAGTCTCCAGATAGCTTTATGGAAAAATACAACATTTGTTCTAGTAAATGTCAGTAATGCAGTCAACACCATTTTTCTGACAGACAACTGATGACAATAACACAACTCATGGCAAGCCTGAAAAAGAGCAATGTTTTTAGTACAGTACCCAAAAGATTACTGGATTTAGTGATTATGGAAGTACTATTTTACAAAACTAAGAACTGGCATTTATTTCACCATATTGATGCAAACATCGCCACAGACTTCCCTAGCTTAGGCAAGACTGAGCTAAAATATTCTTAAAAACAAGAAACCAAGCTAATCCAAGTCTGTGACCAAAAAGACGATAGGCTGGCAGTTGTTCCTAGTGAATCAGTGAAGTGAATCACGGCTATCCACATAACACAGTTTCTGGGTCCATGAAACTGGAAAAGACTGAAGTATAGTGTGAACTGGCAAAAAAGACTTAACGTCCCACAAAGGGCCACAACCCGGAAAGGTGGGCAAAATTTATCCACTGGTCTCGTTTGTATTTCCCTACTGAAGTTCTATCTACTGCCACATCCAACTGTACAAACATCAGACAAAAGGAAGTTCCAGCTAATGGATTTTGTAACAATTTTTCCAGTGGAATACAGAACACTTAATACTATTATATATGGAAAAATTTGGTAGAGAGCAAGTCCACTTCTCCACTGAAATAAAGTATCCAATGGAATAAAACATCTAATTCCACTACTTGTGCTCTTCTACGTACTAAATATCAAGCTGCTACTGGGCTAGAAAAAAAAGGGCATCTACACCTGGGGAAAAAATGCTTTGTTTTAGATTTACTCCTTAAGTTATGAAGAAAGAGTAAATAATAACTTAAAAGAAGGCAAAGTGGCTAGTCAAAGGGCCACCAGACAGCAGTTTATCATTATTGTTTTCTTTGTAATGTTTAACAGGTAGTATTAATTGGGATGATGGCCACATAAGCAAAGCACAGCTCCAATTTTAAGCTACACACATACATGCAGCAACAATGCCTAGTTAAAATTCTGAGTCGCAGTGCAGCATATTTCAGTGCTCCTGCATGCCAGAAAAAGCATTTTAATGAGACTATACCAGCTGACATTATCTATTAAATCGGACATACTCTTTTCCTCTGTAGATCCCAGGGTCTCTTTGCTGGCCAGCAGCGTATCAGCACAGGTAGCAGAAATCCTCTTTTCTGTGTAAGTCTTCCTCAGGCTGTCTTGAGAACTGGCAGGCTCATTAAACATGTCCTGTGTGGAACTGGAGTCAGACAGCACCGCTGCAGTGCTATCCTGACTCCTCTCTGCAAAAAAGATAAAGAGGGAATGTACCATTTCATACTCATCAACCTGTTACTTGCATATTGGTAGCAGCAACATACAACCGCAGCTACTCTGCACACCTCTTAGAAATGCAATACAGGAACCTTTACAACCACCAATTCTGTTGTCCAAAAGGTATTTACTTTCTTTTAAGTTGTCTACTTCAACTTATCATTTTCACCTAACCTCTTTGTGCTAAGAAATTATTAAAACCTCAGTCTTCTTTCACTAGGTATTCTTTAACACTAACGTAATAGAGAGCTCCCTGCCCCACCACATTTCTTCCTAGAATATAATCCTGGAATTTGATTCAAAAGCAATAATGCTCAACTTTCAAAAGCAGTTAGGCTGAGGACGCAATATTTCAGCTAGTATGGTCCTATAAAATTTCCTGGGTTTACTGTGCCACTTCCCTTGAAAAGCACCCAGTACAATTCTGAGTCTGACACAAGCAAAGCTCAATTGATAAGAGAAAACCATGAACAACAACACTGGTAAAAATTACTCTTGAAGGGCAGAAAAATCAGTACCATTAGAAAGCAAAGACTTACAGGAGTGATCACTGATGCCATCTATCCTGCAGGTGTTAGAAGCTGTTCATCAAATGTTCTGAAAGGCGATTTGATACGGCAAATAAACAATCACTCAAAGAACTAGGTCTAAGATAGACAGGAAAGCTCTTAGACTTCAAGGCAGCAGAGAGAAGGAGAAGTGACTTTGCCTTGACAGAGTGGAGTAGTGCACGTTGGCTGCTGACTCCATTACAGTCACAACTAAATGGTTAATCTGCTGATAGCCATTACAGCACAGGAAAAGTTGTACAGGATCATGACTTTATCATGGGGCATAAAATTCACACCTCAGAACAAACAGGCAAGTGAAAAGCTTCCACTTTCAGGTCTGAAATCTGCTTGATAAAACCCACGTTCTTCTACACCAGGGGTTATCAGAGGCAACCCTGCATGACTAGCAAGTGCAGCTTAGTATCTCCAACAGAAAGAAGCATGCATATTCCCACTGAGGTGGGAAATCAGCATTTTTCTGTAATATTGTGCCAACATAATTCAGTGTCCAAATCAAAATTCCCATACAGGCAGTTCTGTAAATCTGTAGCCCAAAAGATTAATTTCCAGTTTCTGCTTAAGATACAGGAGTAGCTTAACCAAGAGGTGTGTCAGATCCATTGTCTAGGTAGTTCCACTGCATTCTTACTCATTAATTTTCTTGATAAGATCAAGAAAAAAAATTAAAAGAGCAAAAGCCCTTGCTTTGAGATGAGCCGATAATTCAATTAGATTTCTTCTGTTCCATCAGAATTGCACTTGTTCAGGAGAAAGCTAAGGGCCTCCTATGAACTTCTTTTATCAAGATAAATCCCTCTGCAGACCTTCAGCTTGCAGATCAGGTTCTGCTTATTAGGATTCCAACAAATTTAAAACAAATTTGATGCACTTCATGGGTTTTTCGCTACCACACAAAGAAAACCTTCCCGTTCAGTGAACAGATCTTAATAAAACTGTATCTTAAAAGAATGGAGAAACAGTATTTGCTTCCTAATTGGAAGTTATAGAGTTGGTTAATGATGACAAGTTTTATACAGAAAAAGAACTGGAAGAGAAGGATTCTGAAGAGAGGTCAGTCAAGCTTTAAATGACTCATTTATAAAGCTTTAATAACCTTCTGTGCTACAAATGGATACCACTGAACTCCCAGTTGGCATCAGGAAAAACATTTACAGTAGCTCCCTCAATATTTCTTTTTAAAGGAAGTTTCTGCATCTGTGGCAAAGAGGCTGGATTACTCATCTAGGGAAGAAAAAAAATTGCAAATTCAAAATGTTGCCATAAGCCTAGAGGTCAGTTCTGATGCGTGGGTTATGACAGATGAAGCATTAGAATTAAATCAAGAACTGCCAGACCTATATGCGAGAGTGATAGCACATCACTAGGAAATTACACTAACTTCTCCACATGCAAAAACAGACAGTGATTTAGCATGTTAAATTTCAAATGTATGCACGACAGGGAAGCTTTTCCCTGTGGGGAACAAATGTAAACACCTCCTTACAATTAGCTAGCTATTTTGATTTGAAATTTCCACTAAAATGAGAGTTGGTCTAGGTACGTATGTTCATTCTCCTTTTCTTTCAATACACTAACAATACAAAAAAATAATCTTAATGACATTTACATTGGGCTCCTTTATCACTGAAAAACGGAGGAAGACTACTAATGAGACAACTTCCTATTATTTCAGATATTTCTTGAATGCAGTAGATGCTTTCAAACTAAGTGGGCCTAATGAAAAACACTAGAGTATTTTAGAAATTAGCAGCAGCCACCAGTCATTTGTACTCTGAAGTCACAGAGGATGGGTAAAGTTCCAGGGAATGGAAAACAAAGTGTAGTACCTATCTTTACAAAGGATAAAAGGTCAAAGCTATTAGCCTGCTGGTCTTCATTTTCCACAGAATTATTTGAGCATAAATAAATAAAACCATCTTTAAGCACCTAAAAGATAACAAGATCAGTAGTAGAAAGTGTGTGTTCACATGTGCTTGGAAAGAATTAGTGATTCTCAAACCAGAAATGGCCAAAATATCACGCTTTCATAAAAGCAATTCAGCAAACTATCACACTTGAATGTTTAATCAGTAACTTCACAGAAAAAAAATATGTAAGAGTCTTCCTGTTCTACTGAGCAGTAATGAAAATTAAGCTTAATTATGGTGTCTGTATTTGGGACCCACATTTTAAAAAATACACTAGAATGAATTCAGAGGAGAGCAGAAAAAAATGACGAGACATTAATGAGATGCCATATAAGAAAAACATCACGAGAATTGGGCTTATTTATCTTCAAAAAGATAAGGGAGAATTTTCAAATGCATACAATTAACCAAAATAAAAACACAGTAATTGCTCTTCATATTCACTAAGTACAGAGCAAGAGGCAACAGGTTTTAACTGCAGCAAGAAAATGGCTTTTTCTTCCCCTAATCTCTAGCTTAACTGTTACATACAGTTAAAAAAATTGCATAGAGAACCTATGGAATTGGTGGAGGTTTTCAAGGACAGGTAGACAAACAGCTATCATTTGTTAGGTTACCAAAGATGTACCTTAATACAATTTAAAACCTCAGTCAGTACTTTAATGCTGCAGTATGCAATGCACAAATGGCAATTGTACCAAATCATATCCTAACTGCTTTAAAAAAAAAAATCTACATATTTTTCATACACGAAAGTACTGTGCTCTTAGCCTAACTCACAAATCTATCTTATATATATACTAGACAGACACACAGCATATATTTTTACATTCATTGTGTAATAAAGCTTTTCCTTCATCTGATAAGAGTTGACTGTAGTTGAGAGTTAGTAGCATCATTCAGCCTATATGCCAAAGACCACTGCAATCTGTGATACATGAAAATGAATTCCAAATTCCCAACTGCTCTTGATACCTGTCCTTTTGAAAGGTGCAAATCCAAGGAGAACATCAGTGCTTTTTAATAATTTCTGCTATAATTAAAGACAATTTAACGCAACTCGGTGTAATTTAAGAGTTAAAAAATTACTGGTTTTAATAACTTGTTTACCTAAGGTATTTTCTTAGTTCTCCCACCTGGCAATAGCAATAAGATAAGCTTTTCCAAAAAGCTAAAATGATCCCTCAGTTATAAGCAAATTATAAAACCAGGACTAAATATTCTTTTGAGGTCCCTTCCTGTAAAGTTTCCCATTATTTCAAAAGCTAAGATAAAAGCACAACTGGGTATTAACGTCCCCAAATTATTATCTGTAGCGGAAATGAAGGGAATAGGGGAAAAAGGTCTACTAACTGTGCAAAACTAACTGCAGCAAAATTCCTATTAAAAATACATCCTCATACCAGATTCTTTCTTTGATATTATCGGTTTGTTTCATTACTTTGTTGCATCAAACAACCTGACAAACTGAAATCTCTATTTGATATAAAGTTAAGTATTTCATATTTATTTCTGAAGATTAAGGAAATGGTACTTGAGAGAAAAATCAGGTTGGTTTTTTTTAGACTCATTCCTCACATGTATACAACTTGTGATATTTCAGTGATTTCTGTGTCAGACTATATCACCTACTCTGTCAACAGATGAAAAAGAGCAGCTCTGGACAAAGATGTGAAAAGGTCAAAAGGAAGAATCTTGTTAACTTTCCAAGAGATTAGTAAAAAAAAAAAGTTACTGGAAAGATGTCATTGGGAAAAAAGAACTTGTATGTTCATCTGTACTGCTGAGAGCTTTATTGTATCACAGTGAGATCCTACCACTCACTTGGATAACTAAGTAGCTAACATTACTGAAACACATCCTTAGATGTTTTAAATATTACAAAAATATCTGTAGCCCAGTTCACTTAATTCTGTGTTTAAGAGCATTTTAAGATTACTCTTATCCTGAATGAAATAGTTTTACTGGGTTGACTTCCATGCATTCCTACTCCATGCTATTCCTCCGTACGAGAAGCCTTTGTCACTCTGCTCCATTAGCATTCAGGCACAACACCTACATGCCCAACAGTAAAAAGTTGTGTTACAGTTTGGGGAATCTAAATAAATATTTCATTTTAAAATGCCACAGAAAAAAAACAACAAAGGCTCAATACTTTACTAGCCATTACCCCATGCCAGAATTCTCCCATACACACCATAAGCCCTGGGGACCATATGCCATAAGCCTCATTACCTGTGTCTGCTCACAGGGCTGAAGGAGAGACGAGAAGAGACAGTGATGTGTTAAAGTGTAAGTGACCTGAACTAGCAGACATACAATCCTAATGACAGAGTTCCTAGTGCTAAGTATGCTGACCAGGTAACATCTGCTCAGGGTACAAGCTTACATAATTTATTCTCAGGGGAGCTGAAGTACAGCTTCGCAGCGCCAATATGAATGAGGTATTCTGCCTTTGTCAATTCATTGCTATGCAGCTCAGTAACAGTG